TTCTTACGAACAGTGCAACCACGCACCTGCTCCCACTTGGGTTGGGGAGACTTTCCTCGGCAGAAGTTGCTCAGAGTCCAAGTAGCGTTTCGCAACATCGAAAGCTTGTGGTTCTCGTTGAGAAGCATGAGCAAGGGTTGCAAAGCGCCTTGCTCAAGGACGTGGTCTCGGCATTTAGGAGAGTCACCGGCAATGTTACCGAGAGCCCAGACGCTACAGGTCAGTCCACATCTACGACTCTACCCGAGTGATACGTACGCTTGCTCGCGGACATCGAGGACTTGGGAAGAAAGGAGACGGATGAAGTGGGGGACGGCGCCGTTGGCAATGACGACCTGGGTGTGTTGGGAGGTGCCCGAGGCGATGTCTATTGTATCAGCATGGGTGTAAGCGTAGTGCACCCAAACGCACTGGTCAAAGCCCAAGCAGCCTCGAACTGATCGTCAGTGAACGTTCCTCAACAATAGGTGAGGACGCACTTGGAGCATAGTGTTGTTGCTAGACAAGAACTCGACGAATCGGGGGACGACGCCGCACTCGATGACCCGGTCAATAGGCGGGTTCTTCTCCTTGGACAGGAGTCTGCCGGTTAGTAATCGCTAACCTAGCAATCGCGATGATTGATTGTTTGATTGCTCACTTTCGGAACTTGGTCGTGGCGTCGAGCTGGACATCCTGGTTGTCGCTGTAGACGGCTTGGAGCATCTGGGGCAGAGTTTCGCTCAGCGACGACGAACCGAGCTCGAAGTCTTCGTCAGAGTCGGCCTCATCGTCCTCGGCGGAGGGTTGAAAGTTTCGTCGTTTCGCGATGGACTCTTCTCTCTGAAGGGGAGTATCAGCGGCTGGCGGTGCGAGAGGAGTGGAACAGTAAGCCGAGTGGCCACCGAGGTGGACGAGTTGTTGTGCTGGGACCCCGGACCAGAACTCACCTTTTGCTTTCGGATCTCGACCTGCTGCTCCTCACGACGCCTTCGGAGCTGCATAATCAGCATTGAACCGCAGAAGACGGGGTGTGCGAAAGCAGAGTGAACAGTGACGAAGTGCCGATGCTGAGCACACGACAAATAAACAAGGGGAGGTCTGGACCCCAAAGGTTTCGTGACAGGAGACACAAACATACCTCTTGGGCGGAGAAAGTGGTCTTTCCCTTGAAGTTGGCACGTCGGTGCTCGAGGTTTCTGGACTCCATGATGTCAAAAAGGGGGCGGGTAGGTTGGACAGTAGACGAAGAGGAGTCTGTTGTTTTTGGGAGTGATGGTTGAGAAGGGAGGATCGAGGATGAGACTTTGAGGTGCGGAGCGCGTCATTACTAGAATAGGAAATTATTGTAAAGAACCCGATAGATGACGGGATCAAATGGGATGATGACCACCGTGGGAGATGAGACAGAGTCACCGTGGGAAACCGAACCCCTGGTTGGGCTTTCCGTGACGTCTATCACCTTCTCAACAAGGATCACCCCTTGAGCATCGACCTCGGCACCATGGGAGATTATTCGCGACGTTCAAGGTCCAGATCCAGGTCGCCGTCGAGGAGACACAGAGACAGGGACTCTCGGTCATCTCACCATTCCTCAAAGCATCACAAATCTCACAGGCGACATGATTCCGATGATGAAGACGATGAACGGAGACGAAAACACAGAAGGGACAGAGACAGAGATGAGACAGAGGAGGAGAGGAAAGAGCGAAAGAGGCTGAAAAAGGAGAAGAGACGATCAGAGAGGAGCAACGAGCATGGCCTCGATGTTGTGGACGACGACGACGATGGAGCTGTATGGGTTGAGAAGAGCGTCGACGCAGAGGTCAGACGAATTTCGCCCATACTTGGTGGTGTCTGACGGTTCAGGACGCTATATCTAAGATCCCAACTGCCGACTCGCTGCCCTTGAAGTCTCAGGTTGAGAAAGCAGACGTGCCACTGCCGCACGCCACGGCGGTGGAGACGGAAAGGCGAGAACGCGATGCCTGGATGTTGGATCCGGGAACTATCTCCGCTTCGTCTGTCCCTGCGCCTACTAGGGATATCCCAAGGAGTGCGGGCATTTCCGCCATCTCGGGAGGTATGACAGATGGGTACGGTGACGACGATGCATCGAACAGGACGGCCGGGGGTGGAGTGGACTTCTTCGCATCGCTTGGAACCGAACACAAACGGAAAGATCCCAATGCCGACAAGCCCGACCCATCCAAGTCATTGGTCGACCATCGGGAGCTGAATACGCAGCTTAAGGAAGGACGATCCTTGGATGACTATGACGCGCCAAAGGAGAAGAAGATTCAGCCCGGTGGACCGGGATCCTCTTGGCGAATGATGAAGCTCAAGCGGCTATACGAGCAAGCCGAGGAGCAGTGCGTATAGTCTACGCCCGAGAGCGCAAAAGCTGATGACAAAGGGGACGAACCGTAGAAGACGTCGCCATGGAGAGATACGGCTCGATGGAGGACTTCAACGAGGCGCTCGAAGAACGTCGCATCCTGGATGAAAGAGATCGAAGAAGGTTGTCGAGAAGGGGCAACACGAACGAGGGCATGTCGTCACCCAGTTCTGGTGGGATGCGCACGCCGGATGCTTCGGGTGGAAGACGATTCATGTTCAACAGCGATGACGGGCCTGGAAGTCGACCGGGTTCTCGCGCCGGGTTCCGTCGTCCCGGGGAGTCGGACGGGATGCAGACGCCTGGAGCGGGTCGAGTTGACGAACTGCGACGACGAGAAGGCGTCACTCCCCGAGCCAACAATGCCCCCCTGCCGAACCAAGCCAAGATTACAACCCCGATTCCCAGTGTCTTCACTCCCACCGCGCTCACTCGAAATGGCTCGGGCTACCCCTTCTCAGTTCCACCGGCAGCTGGGGGAGACACCTCAAAACCGCCCATGTCCATCGAAGAGCTCAACCGGCTGCAAGCGAAAGTACTGCGAGCCAAGCTGATGGAGGATCCCGATGCCGAAGCGTTAGAGGAGCAATATGAGTATGAACGTGCCCGCGCAAACAACGCCGGGGGCGACCAAGGAGGAGCCGGGATGTGGGAAGGCAGCGGCGAAGGCAAGCAGGGTCAATTGGGCCGAGAGGAGGATGGCAAGAGGGTCGAGCTTCAAGTGTTGCCCACGCTGGATGCTCGTGGGCAGTTATACGACGTTGGCACTGGCAAAGAGGACGCGGATGTGCCGAGGGCCGGGAACAGACGAAAGAAGCCGGAAAAGGTGTGTAGGCGTGGGTACCATGGCGGCTGATGGTCAGTTCGAGACGCGAGACAAGGACGGCAATCTTTTGCGATACAACGCGGACGACGATGAGCAGACTCTTGGAGAGCTCGTTCGACAGGAACGTTTCGGCGCAGGCTCGAGGGATCAGAAGAATATTGATGCTGAGATGGCAGCGGCCATCGCCCGAGACGGTCGTTTCGACGTGAGTGCGGCTGTCCTGTCACAACTTTTTGTCATGCGTGATCGATCCTTGAATAGACTTCTCTCCTGGCTATCGCCTCTCTTGACGATGACTTGGGCTGACGAGCTCTTGAATTTTGTGTACTAACGACCAGAACAACCTCGACTACATCGATGAGAACTCGGAGCGTTTGGCGCAGAGAAAGCGCAAATCCGACGCGATGAAGCGACAGTTCGCCATCAATGACTTTGCCAGGACAAAGAAGGCTTTGGACACGTGTCCATTCTGTTATCAGGACGATCGACAGCCTCTGACAGCCATCGTGGCCTTGGGGCAGAGGACCTATCTGTGCTGCACAATGACAGAGGAGCTTGTGCCCGGTCACTGCCTGATTGTCCCGCTGCAGCACCACCTCAGCACGCTCGAGATGGAAGACGATGACTGGGAGGAGGTCAGGGTGAGTATATTCTCTGATCTCACGTGCACTGACTGACGGCGCAGAACTTTATGAAATGCCTGATGCGAATGCACGCCAAGGACAACAAAGGCGTTCTGTTCTACGAGACCAATGTGTCGTTCCGACAACAAAAGCACACTTACATTGAAGCGGTGCCGGTACCATTCGAGCAGTTCCAAGATGCCCCGGCCTACTTTCGCGAGTCGATCCTCGCCTCTGAATCCGAGTGGTCTCAACACAAAAAGCTGATCGACTTTTCCGCCCGACCGGGTGGATTCCGACGGGCGATGGTGCCCAACCTGCCTTACTTTATGGTCCAGTGGGATTACAAGGGCGAGAAGGGCTACGGCCACGTCATTGAGGGCATGGACGATGCGGCAGGTAAAGGTGGACCGGAGGACGATGTCGGAGGTGCGGTTGATGAAGGTGACAAGGGCGGCGGCGAGTTCCCCCCGTAAGTGTTCTGTGGGGGAGCATACACAGTGGGCTAATGACGACCAGGTACTTTGCGGCTGAGATCATTGGAAACATCCTCGGCCTGGAACCGAGAAAATGGAGGAACCCCCGAAAAATGGATTATGCTCTGAACAAGGATCGTGCTAGGGAATTGGGAACGAAATTCCAGCCATACAACTGGACTGTGCAGCTCCAGCAAGAGGGTTGAATGCATGCGTATGATCTGTCATGGTTCCACTTCCAGAAGAAAGTGTTGTGCTGTTACACGATATACGGCGAGAGTCTGGCGACACCTCGCGGACAGATCTCCTACTGGTGGCATTGAAAGGGAGAATGTCCTAATCCCCTCGGGCGTGTTAGTCGGATCCAGATTCGACCTTGTCTCTAATATTAGGCAATTTTCAACGTCTACTCTAGTCGCCTACTACACGAGGTCACGACAGTAAATGAACGCCTTCATTTTTTCGCAAAGCAAGCGCAGGTCTCCCCCCCCCTTGCAAGCACCGAAACCCGCCAGGCTACAGGTCGCGACGCAGTTGGGATCCCATACAAGTCATTGCTGCTTTCAGAACCGACGCTTCGGGAAATCAAAGCTACGAGGATCGCGTGTGCGAGATTCCCAGGTCGAATCGAATCTCATTCCGTACGGGATGAAAGAAAAATTCCAGGCAAGAAAATCAAAACCTGATTAAAAAATTCTCGACAGTTGCAGGATTCGAACCTACGAGGCGTACACCACTTGATCTAAAAGATAAGACTTCAAGTCAAGCTCCTTAACCACTCGGACAAACTGTCCCTTCGCCATTTCCCATGGCTCTCAATTATATATAGTTTGCCCAATCAGAAGGAGAGAAAAAAGAAGAGGTGGCGTCCCCCCATTGGGGACGCCTTCTATGTCGACGATGCGCCGCGCCCTCGTTTCGAGACCCACTACGATCGGTCTTCGCAGCTTATGCCGATCATGATCGGACACAAGGGTGATCTCCGAGCTGATCAGGATACTGATCAGCCTGCTGTTCTCGTGGGCCAATGGGGCGGTCTCCATATGCAGCACCTGCCGGAAGGCTCTGTCGTCGATGAGCGGACCTCGCACGTCATCTGGGAGCATCTGCCGTGCTGTGGCGATGGTTTTGAAAGTGTCGCTTCAGCTTGTCGGCAACATCTTGATCGGGCCGCGAATCGTCGCCCTGCTGGGTATCGCCCACCCATCTGAGTCTCGTCATCGAGCAGCGAATCTGTCCACACTCTTGCGAGGGATGGTGGCAGAATCAGTCGACGGGCAGGATCGATACGGACACTAGCAGAGGGCATGTGGCGGAAGCCCCTGGGCGCGTTGTTCATGCGCCAAGGTCACGGCCCATCGACAAGCGCTCTCTCTACAGCTGGAGAGGTAGATCCGCCCTCGAGGACTACACGGCTGCAGGGAGGGGTGTGTGGGCAGGCGCAAGCGGTATACCGAGAGCTGGAGAGGTGACCGGACCCTTTCGAGCAATGCCGTCGACATGTGCCTGATGAGGGTGTCATGACTACCCTCGAGATCGCTTGTCAGCCGTCCCAGTGGGGAGATGGCCAAGGTGGTACCGGCGTACTTGATCGATACAAGCTGCGAGGCCGGCAGAGTCTCGGGATAATCCAGACATAAAAGGAGGAGATCTGGAAGTTATCCTTGACCCATGACACTTGGGGAAGAACCCGAGTAGCGTCGTGGTACACCGGTCAATCATTGAGTTCACCGTTGAAGTTCGCCATTGAGGTGCCCGCCATGCCACAACGTGACGACTTGCAAGGTGGGTTCGGCGATCTGACGTACAGCCTTGGTCCATCCAGAGTAGGGCGACCTCGTGAGCATCAGTCGTTTAGGTGTAAGTCGTCCAAGCTCACTCTGGGTCGTCTCCCGTTTTTCTGTTCGATGTTGTGGAGTGTCGGAGTCGCGACACAGCCGGCCGTACTGATGGCGGAATGCGAAGAGGGGACAGGCATGGTGAGGGGGAGGCGGGCAGGGAAGATAGAGAGCGCGGTACGAGCGGCCTGACTATTGGTCAATCCTGTCAGTGAGCTGGCACGAACCTTTGGTGCGTACGAAACGGATCCCAGGGGCGGCTTGCAGGGTGGAACCCATGTCGACTCACTTCAAACATTAGACATGTCCGCGGAGCAGGGTGCCATCAGAGCTTGTGATTGAAGTCTGCTACTCTTGGTAGATATCTAGTCAGGAGTGAAGGCATGAGAAGATGTTGAAGACGTGATGAGAAGGAAGTGAAGAGAAGAAAGGGAGGGGAGAGTATTCTTAAATAAGGTGGAGAGGAAGAGAGAGGGAGGGGTGGGGGTGGAGGTGGGGGAGGCGTTGCACAAAAGATGGGACGAGGGGGCGCAGAGGTGCGAAGAAGCACGAAGCGTGAAGGGCTGGGCGCAAAGCAGGAGGGCCAAAGGAGGGTAAGAGCAGAAGAGGAAGGGAGGCGTGTGACACGAGGCACGGCCGGAGACACGAGTGCAGAGTAGAGCGCGCGCGGGAGCACTATTAGCCCAGATTAGCGAGACAGAGGGACAGAGCAGAGAGAGGACAACGACGTGAACCATAATCCGTGCGGAGTGATCGCCCGACATGGAGCCGTGTAAAGGTCATTCGCGGTGCTTGGACCATACGATCGATCATACAGTAGCGTGGAGGAAGGGGGAGAGGGGACAGCGTAAAGGGGCCTGACGAAGCGAGGCCAATCGGGGATAGTGAGAGCGAAGAGCGATCGAGTGAAAGGCAGCGCAGGCTGTACACTCGATCTGATCGGCCGGAAAGCCGACGGAAGAGCAATACGCTTGCTATGAAGGGCGAGAGCGGCTCATGGCTTGGTCGTAGCGGCGCCGTGCGTCACACTGGTCGCCCTTGACATGCTTACAGATGAATTCGGACACAGGCCTCGGAGAACAGAGAACTTCGACATGCTCCTCGAGCCGACGTTGAGGTTACCTATCACATCCTTACGCCACCCCACAAACTCGCAATGCCCCAAGTATTTATCGCAAGATCCGCTTCTTCCATAGCATCGGAATATCATCAAACGAGGCGGGGACCCTGTTTCCGAGTACTCTAGGCGACGCTAAATTCGCCACGTTTCTTGATCAGAGGCAGACCTTTCAAAAAGAAGCTCCACGTTGCTCAAGAAACTTGTCTCACCAGCCCACAAGGCTCCATCATCAAAGGACCCTCTGGTGCACAGTTCCCCCCCCCCCCCCCCCCCCCCCCCCGCCCCCCCTCGCTCCCCCATAATCAAGGTGCCTCGGCGTTTGTGAGACAATAGTCGTCGAGATGGAGGTGGTTCTCGCCACCGGTCGGATCGTTGGGCTATGTCTCACCTCTGACAGTGTCCTGAATGATCGACGACGTCGTTAGCTGAGACGAGGTGCGCTTGCGTGGTGGGTATTGCAGTCACTCCTTTATATGGGCATAGAGGTCACGATGTATCCTTGACACCCCCCCCCCCCCCCCCAATGTCCCTCGAGCCGCCTGGATAATGCTCAGGCAAGTCATCAAGGCTGGGCTGCTGTTGATCCACGACATCCTCGGATCTTACATTCCACAATACCTGTAGTGGGTAAGGTCAACGATCCGACTTGTTCAAATTGACAGCCCGGAATATCAACATTGTATTGTAGCTCAGGTCAGTCCCCTGTTAGTCCCCCCTCGGTCAGCTCTGCTACCGCCTTTACCTCTCATCTCCCTTCCGAAAACGAGGCCGCTTGAAGAGCCGAAAGGAGAAGACAAACCAATACCAGTTGTACACTTACCATATCCCCAGAAAAAGGGGAGGGTTGCTATCTTACCTTCTCCCGACCGGTGGTCCAGGCTGACTCGCTAGGCATCTTCATTCTCCTCCTCATAGCTAATCCCTCTGTGCCAGCCCATCTCCGACTGCTGGGACTGCACTCTTCTCAACCCAACTCTGTCTCCCGGCCTCGATACGAGCTGCCCCCTCAGCGCACATCCCCCGGTCACTTTTGCCCAGATCATTCACTCTCTTGCTTATCCACTCCTCCAACAACTCTTGCTCTCCCACAACACACCTTCCTTCCCTCCCTATTTCACCTCCTTGGCAGGAAGGCAGATTGTGGAAGGCAGGCTGACGTGAAAGATCGATAGACGTATATGAAGCCTCATTCTGCTTCGATGGGCTTTTATGCAACTCTACATACGACCTCCGCGACGCACGTGCCCTCAGTCCAAGAGGTCACCTCGCCTAGCCCCTGATATATCCAGCATGGAAGGAAGCAGTTCAGGGTTGAGGAAAGGTGAGCCAGAGACCGAAGAACAAGCCTCTCACCCTGCCATTCCCGACAGACGACGAAATGTGGGCATGTAATCCTACTTCTACGGTAAGAACCTCGGTCTTGTCCCAACACAAGTCTGGCCCGCTTGAGCTCGTCCGCAGACCCGCCGCCCCGCCGCCGCCGTTGGATCGGATACGTGAACTTGTCACGCGCGACCTCTAAGAGAGCCAAAGATGGCGACCATTGCTGACACTCTGGCAAATCATGATATCGCTCGATCCCATTGGCATTGTTTGGAAGTTAGAGCAGCACCGACGTAACGTTACATCATTGCAATACAATGTACAAAGCTAGTTCACCCACAGTGATCCACGGGTCTCTCTAAACCCCCCCCAAGCCCGTCAAGCGTATCTCTGGGGCCTAGGGCTCCCGACACATCTAGCCAAGATCTCTACAAACCGGCCAAAAACGCCGTATCACCCTGAATCCCCTCCTCCACCTGCTTCTCCACAATCTGCTCCGCGATATCCGCCATACCCTGCGTCTTGACCCGCTTGACGACCGGAGTCGCCGCGCCACCGGGCGTCTCCGTAGCCGCCCGCTTGGCCTGCCTCCTTGCTCGGACCGAGCTTCCCGCGCTGGGGCCGTTGCTCGGGGAGGAGACCTCGGGTAATTGAATCATGGTCGACGAGCCGGGGACGACGAATGGGCTGTTTGTGATTGAGAATATCTCGTCCAGACTCTTCGACATGAAATCGGTGCCAAAGTCGACCGACGTGTCCGGCACCGACGGCTCTTCGGGGGGAGGCGGTCGAGCGTTGACCTCGATAACTTCCTCTGGCGACAGGCGTCGGACGATCGAGGCGTCTCGCAGAGCCTTGACACGTGGGCGGAGGTGAGAAAAGACGCTCGCTTCCATGACTTCGGACAGCGAAGGTAGGAGAACGTCCTCCTCAGGCACTGGCGGGTTGTCGTAGAGCTTGTCGGCCCAATCAGGGAATGCCTGTTGGACCGCCTCGTCGACGTGGAATCGGAAGAGAATGATCCCGGCAGAGCCCGACAGCGGAAGCCCATTGTGGTCTTTCGGCTTGATGATGGGCAACGAGGTCCGGTCCCACAGTTCGGCCGGCAGATGGAAGGTCGGGGCAGGCTGCTTGGGTCGGCCTTTGCGCTTGAACCGGGCGTTCTGATCGTTGGCAAAGACATCGAGAATCTGCAGCAGACTTCGGACCTGAAAAGTCAGCGCAGACCAGGGAGGAGGAGTATAATGGCGTACGGCTGGCGACCACCAGAATTGATCAATCACTTCATGGGCATGAGGGGCTCTGCCGCCATTGGCTAGCCGCTGGTAAGCGGTCCATTCTTCCGCCGTGTATGCGCGGTACGGATCCGGGCGCTCGTTGGTGGGCGGAGCAAAGTCGATCGTGAGAAGCGTTCTGTACAACGCGCGAAGCTTGCACACGTTCAAGGGAGAGGAGTTGAATGCGGCCACGCGTCGCGCGAGTAGCTGACTTTAGCGGGCTGTGTCTAGACGG